TTTGGGGGGCCTTAATCTAGACCAGTGTTTCTCAAACTTTAGCTTGCATCAGAACCACCTGGAGGGCTTATAAAACTCAGATTTCTGTGGGTGGGCCACAGAATTTCTGTTTCAGATGGTCTGGGTTAGAGCCTGAGGATCTGCATTTCTAACACATTTCCCAGATGATACTGATGCTGATAGCTCAGGGATCACACTTTGAGAATCACTGGTTTGCCTGTTAACTTCAACTGAACCTGAATGCTAACAGTGCAAATTCAATTTGATTTGAGCTGCTTTTGTACAACACAAGAATGATCCTCTGAAAACTAAGTCAGATTATGCTACTCTTCTGCTCAAAAACCTGTGCTGGTCCATCATTTCACTCCAAGTAAAAGCTGCTGTGCTTTCAGTGGCCTACAGTCCATACTATTTGCCTCAAACCTCTAGTCTCAACTCCTGGTACCTCCAAGTCACATTCTGTTGCAGCCACTCTGACCTCTTTGTTTTTATTTTGACACATTAGGCACCTTCCTGTCTTAAGACATTTGCTCTAGGCATTCCATTTGCCTAGAATACTCTTCTCCAGTTAAATATTTGGGCAACTTTTTTTTTTTTACTGTCTTCAAATTTTTGCTCAGATCTCACCTTCCTAGTAATGAGGCCTACCCTTATCATTCTATTCAGTACTGCATCTTGTGTATGATCTCATTTGTGTGTGGAATCTAAAAAACCAAACTCATAGGAATAGAGAACAGATTGGCGGTTTCCAGAGGTGAGGAGTGGGAGATTGTTGGGGCAAAATGGGTAGCGATAAGTAAAAAAAATAAACTTCCAATAAATAAGTTTTGGAGATGTAATGTACAACATGACAACTATAATTAATGCCATACTGTATATTCGAAAGTGGCTAAGAGAGTAGAACTTAAAAGTCCTCATCACAAGAAAAAGAAAATTGTGACTATGTGATATGACAGATGCTAACTAAACTTATTGTGGTGATCATTTCAGAATTATACATGTATCAAGTGATTATGTTGTACACCTTAAATTTATACAATGCTATACACCAATTATTTCTCAATAAAACTGGGAGGAAAATGAAAAATGCTGCATCTTTTTAAAAATTTTTTTCTTTATTTATTTTTAATTTTGACGGGAGGGAGGTAATTTTCTTTCTTTCTTTTCTTAATGGAGGTACTGGGGAATAAACCCAGGACCTTGTGCATTTTAGGAATGTACTCTACCACTAAGCTATATCCTTCCCTCCAAAATATGCTGCATCTTGTCACTCCTCATTCTAAATCTCTGGCACCTTGGATGCCTCTTAGCTTGTTTTATTTGTATTTCTTTGGTGATAATAGCACTTATCACATTCTAACATACTCCGTACTTCACTTATTAATTATATTTATTGTCTGTCTTCTCTGCTAGAATATAGAGTGCAGAGGTCTTTGTTTTATTCCCAGGTGTATCGTAAGCCCTTGGCATATGTATAATAGGCACTCAATATATATCCACTGAATGAATAAATGAACAAAGGAATGAATATGTTAGGTAATGGTGCTTGTACAACATACTGTTTCAAGTCATTGCTATATAATAGTATCTTTTTGAAAATGTTGCCTGTTGTCATACAAGATAATTTATCTAAGTTACTCAATGACAAGTTAATTTCCTTTCCTGTTTTATCAGCTTGATAGTTCATTCTTATTGGCTTGGTAGTTCATTCTTATTTTTAGACATTTCTACCAGGGATTTGAGGATATGGAATACACACATGCATTTAAATATATCCTGTACAAAAATGATGTTACAGCTGAGTATGTTCTAGATTGAAGCAATTTCACAAGCAGACCCTTCAGTCAGCACACAGAGTTAAGGAGCCTATATTCTGGTCCCTAAGGTACTTCGAATTTTAAAGAAGTAATTATCTTTGACATAAGGTATTTTTAGTCAATAAAGAGTAGAAACTCTATAGTGTTGCTTCCCACCATCTATCTTATAAGACAACAACAATTATTATAATACGAGTTTTCATTTCTTGAGGGCTTACTATATAACGGGCAATGTGCTAAACACTCCACATACTTTATCTTACATAGCTCTCATTACAACCTTGTGGGGAGAAAGAAATCAGAGTCCAAAGAGCTTCAAGAGCTGGCATAGGATTACACAGCCTCAAGGGGCTGGAAGGCTTCTAGTCTAAATCTGTTTGAAACCTATTAAAATGAAACTCTGAGTATAAACAAGAGCAGGAGTTAAACAAAATTCTTACAGAAATATTGTGACCCAAATCCAAATTTGGAGCTCAGTTTTGAAAGTAAGCTCTTCCACATTCTATCTTCCACAGTCTAAGAGAGAAAGCTTGTAACAAGTAAGCCCACTCTTATTTCATGTAGCTATCTCCTGCCGTATGTTAAAGCTATGTATTTTCAAGTGCCAGAGAATTTTTCCTTCAAATTAAGAACAAACCCAAGATTTTAAATGATTTTTTCCCATTTATCTCTCCTTTCCTGACACTGTTTTTGAGCTAGAGCATGGAGTCCTTGGTTGGGAAAGAAAGGATATGATTTCCATCTCCATTAACAGGCCTGAGTAGTTTCTGTCATCTAATAATTTTCTGGGGGAGTGTAATAGCTCAGTGGTAGAGTGTGTGCTTAGCATGCACAAGGTCCTGGGTTCAATCCCCAGTACCTCCATTAAAAAATAAATAAATAATAAAAACTAAAAATACAAACAAAAATGAATGATAATTTTCTGAGTTGACATGCATGTGAATGCTCATCTAGTTAGATGAACTATTCATCCACATTGGACTTTTACTTAAGCTCTGCATACACCCATATGTTTATAGTCACATGTTTCAGATAATGTCTCATTAACTGAGCAGATCTTTTAAAACTCTACTCTTTTTTCAAATAAACTTTTTCTTGGAGTTGCACTAGCAAAAAAGCAGAACCCATTATGTAAGAGTTTAGTATTTTGGGGGAGAGTAGGGAATTATTGTTATGTTCTAAATTCGTTTATGATACAGTGGCATATTAGAGCAGAGTCAACCAAAGTGCATTCACAATGAAACCAGAACCTGTCATTTCTTAGGTGTTCGAGTTCACTGCTGAGATGGAAACTAGAATGTTCCAATTGCATAAAAACACTTTTTATTTCATCAACTTGAGTGCATTTATTATCTACGTTCTACTCATATATGTTGGTCGTAAGATAATCTTAAATACCCCTCCCTCTTCATTATTCTTTCTTCTCTTTTATTACTCATCTTGTTTTCCAAAATATGGTGCTATAGGAAACAATTTTACTTCATGGAGAGTGAGAAAGGAGATTGCTTGTATGAATGCTATACTGTTTCCACTTAACAGATTGAAAATTTTTGCCCCTTCTCAGTGAACAAATTAATTGATGTGTGTGAGTGGATTGGCTGAGAATTTTATGACCTCTCTCCCTTGGGCCAGCAAATGAAGGATGGAGAGTCATCTTTATTGTACAAATCAACCTTCTCCCCCCCAGTAACCATAAGTTCACTTACATTTGCAAGCATCTGGTGCAGAGAAAGGTCTCCGGAGGTCCCGGTAGAAGCCTGGTTTACAACGCTGGCAATGCTGACCTTCCGTGTTGTGCTGACAGTCATTGCAGACACCACCACTGCGATTCCCTGATGCCTCCCACACATTAATGTCAAAGTGACAGGCATCAGCATGCCCATTGCACTTACAGGCTAGAAAAAAGAAGCATGGGAGAAAAAAAATTAAAAATAAAACGACAGGTTCTCTAATACTCAGGCAGTTAAGGGTAGAGCAAGCTGATTGCTAATTTTTAAAAATTTAGTTTTTTGAATAGTGTACATTTTCACAGTACAAGAATCCAAACAATATACATTTTTAGTATACACTATGAACCCTAGTCTCCCATCCCCATTCACCCTGTTTCTTTTGGCCTTCAGTAGCTTCTTTCCTTCCTTCCATTCTTCCTTCCCTGCTTCCCTCCCTCTCTCCTTCATCTGAGCCTGGAAGGAACCTGCTGGTGGACAGAGGTTAGTAACTTGGCTGGTAGATTGAGTTACCTTTCATGAAGTACTATTCCTCAGTTATTGTTGTACTGGTGAGTATGAGGTAGTCTCCTATAGAAGCCTTAATTTTCTTATTGAAGAGGCCTGCACTGTTTCTTATGTAACAATTTCTCAAAGGCATTTCTAAGATTATCAGTCAGTAGAACCAAATGACAAGTCTCTGTGTTCCATATATATTTAGATATGCAGTTGGTTTCTGTGGAAAGGGCCAGAGTGGCACTCTAGGAATTCTGGAGAAATTCTTTAGATTCTCTTGATGAGTGATTTAGAATATGAATCCGGTCTTTCTTCTGGAGGTCAACTGTATTTGAAAATGTCTGTGCTATTGTTTTTCATTGTTTCCTTGATGTGTTATGATATTTTGACCAGATTCATAATCTTTAAAAAGCACTTTATAAGATAATTTAAGATTTATGCTTAGAGGAAATCCTTTAAGTGTCCTAGAAACTAAAATAAATCAGTTCTGATTCCAAATTATGTATAGGAAGTGACTTTTCACAATTTTACCCACTGTACTTCCTTTAAATCCCAGTAAAATTGAAGTTTGTGAGTGTAAACAGTGTTATGGGCATGTGTATTTCTCTGATTTTCATGTGTATTTCATTTTGAATTGCAAAGGGAAAAAATGGCTCAGGTTTCCATATTTTTCACCCTTCTATCTAATCTCCAACCTCAAACCCAAAGTTAGCTGTGGTAATGCGGTCTCATTCTTGACAAACTGGCTTAATTTCAAATCTAACTTGTCATTTCAAGTATCATAAGTGAAAAGAAAGGCATTATGGTATTATGGAACAAAGCATTTAATTGGAGTCTGAAGACTTGGGATCAAGTCCTCACTCTATTATTTACTAACTTTGGCAAGTTACTTAATCTTATTGACCCTCAATTTCCTTATCTCTAAAATGGGATTAACACCACCTGCTGTAGAGGGTTGTTTTGAATTCAAGATAGTTATTTTCATGATTATAATTCAATATCTCAACGATGAAGGTAACTGCACACCCTAATCCTCAGTAGCTCTTGTGTCCAGTCATGTTTTTATTATGTCAAAGTCTCAAGGAGGGTGCTTAGATCCACAAAGTATCCAAATGGGCAACACATTCCTTGCAAAATGGTCATATTGGCAACTTTGCAAGCAGTAATTGTTTCTAGTGGCTGGCTGATGTCACAGTGGGCAGTGCAATGGGCTATGTTTGTGTAGGTTACAGTGTCTGTCACCCATCACTTAATATTGTGTTTCTAGAGACATCAAGGAGTACACAGATAAGTTTACTTTACGAAGAAGGCTTTGAGTCTGTGTGCTTGGTACTTACTTCTGCACTCTTTTGGAGACCCTGTTTTGCCATCAGCTGCCTCCCAGGGACGGTCATTGTATAAAGGTGCACAGTGTTGGCAGTGGGTGCCTGCTGTGTTGTGCTTACACATACACTTTCCGTGTACCTGCAAACAAAAATAAGTAAGACCTATGAGTACAAACAATGCTAGGAAGGAACATTCTCCCCACAACTTGGTCTCATTGGTTGACTTTAGCCATGTGACATTCATTTACTTTTCCGAAGAAGTTAGTCATCAAGTTGAGAGATCCTTTTTTTAGTTTGCCTTGTGGTTTATTCAAAAGATTATGTAATATTTTTTCTTGGCTATAGGATAAGTGACCCTAATGAGCAATTCTGAGGTACTGGCCAGGCATTTACTTAAATTTTTAAAACTTAAAAGATTTTTTTTTCTTTACACAAGGCAATACATCTTCACTACAGAGAATTTAGAAATCTGTAACCCTATCATAAACTGACATCATTATCAACACTTGAAACATGCATTTCCAGTACTTTAAAAATAGAATTACATTTAAAACTTTTTTTCATGTAATAATATATTGAGATCATCTTTCCATTTCATTAAATATCCTTGTACAACACATATTTTAATGGCTTCCTTGTATGGTGTACAATTCGTTTGCCCAATCACCTATTTTTTGTTATTTAGGCTTTAAATATTTTTACATGCTTTATTTTAATTTTATAATGAATATCCTTGTAGCGAACTATTTGTGTACATCTTTATTTGAAATGTGTTTTCTAGAAGTAAAACTGAACAGTCAACTTTTGTATATTTTAAGGCTTTAAAGACATTTTGTCATAATGACTGGGCATTTTCTTTTAATCCCACAATTCAGAATAGTTGAGGGTTTTGGGGGGGGTTGCCTTATTTATTTATTTATTTATATTG